GTCTTTGTATCAGTTTACTTCTGTAGAATAAGAAATGAAACGTGGTGCTGGATTTTTATAGTTCACATTGATATTTATAGCACCAAGTGAGCATTGGTTATCTTCACTGGCACGTTTTAAAAATAAAAAGAAATTTTAAACTTCCAAGTATGGCTGTGCATCTCTAGGCTGGCATGTTAGACAGCATTTTAAAAAAGAAAAATGGAAAAACCTGAGTAAAAGGAAAGCACTCCAGTGCACTTGGGGTGTACTTCATGGATGCTGGGGGCAAATGTTTTAAATGACTCATTACAGTACACATGATGTTTGTGTACCCATTAAAACATCAGCTACCTCATATAATAGATGAGTGGTTTTTTTTAACATCAGTATTTTCATACCCTTGAGAGGCCCACATTTTGGGTGATACAGTAAACTTCTGATAATCCGGCACCTTTAGGACTCGGGGGTGCCGGATTATCAGATATGCTGGACTATCGGAAGGGGGGCCTCAGGGGTCTGTGGTGGAGTGGGGGGGATGTGCCCCTCGGTGCTGCAGGAATGCTCTGCCCCAGACTCCCCCAAGTCAGCCGCTGCTGAAACTGACCAGCAGCTGACTCAGGGAAGCTGAGGGCAGAGCTGCTCCAATTGTCCGGCTGCCCGGAGCACTTCCAGGTTCCAGATGGTGCTGGACCATCAGGAGTGCCGGACCATTGGATGCCGGACCAATGGAGTTTTACTGTAATTAGTTTTAAGATACAGCTTTTATGAAATCTAGGAATTTTTCTGGAAAAAGTCAATAAAAACAAAAAGGGCCTCAGTTGTGATGTAGTTGTGGCTATAGCATACAACTTACAAAATAACACTGATATCTAAACTCAAGTTTTTTTTCTTTTAAAAATTTCTTTCAGATCTGTGTTCTATCGCTCATATAAAGAACAAGAGTCCAAGAAAGGATTTGACCAAGAAGAGGTTTTTGAAAAACCTACACGTGAAACTTGTCAGGGTAAGATGGAAGAAACAAAGCCTGTGATTAACAGCCAGACTGAGTCCAGCATGTTAATGTTTGTTTATGTTGCATTGTAAACATGTAAATGATTAAATTTGTGCTCCTAGAACAAAGAAACTTGTATGGTTAGTTAAGCAAAAATTCCCTTTCTGGATATGTTAGCAGCGCATTGGCTAGAATCTGCATTTGCTAATATGTCATGAATTCACAGTGTACTGTGACAAACTGCAAGGGGGTGTGTCTGTGTCTGTGTCTGTGTCTGTGTGAGAGAGCGAGCGAGCGCAATACTTTGTAGGGTTTTCGGCTCTGAATGCATGTCTCTCATCTCAGGTATGAGGCATGCCATCTATGACAAACTCGATGATGATGGTTTGATAGCACCTGGTGTACGTGTGTCAGGAGACGATGTCATCATTGGCAAGACAGTAACTCTGCCTGAGAACGAAGATGAACTGGAAAGCACTAACAGGCGGTACACGAAGAGGGACTGTAGCACTTTCCTACGAACTAGTGAGACTGGTATTGTGGACCAGGTCATGGTAACCCTTAACCAGGAAGGATACAAGTTTTGCAAAATTAGGGTGAGTTCTGGTGCCTGTGGCTCCTGGGTTTAAAAGGCATATATATATATATATGTCACTGATCTGATGTTCTCTGTTGCCTCCAGGTGCGTTCTGTGAGAATCCCACAAATTGGAGACAAATTTGCCAGCAGGCATGGTCAGAAGGGTACCTGTGGTATCCAGTACAGGCAAGAGGTAGCGATGTCTTTTCCTCTCATGCTTGTATATCTCAGTGAAAGTTGCTTATAAATGTGGATTGCCTGCAAAATGTTACCTTAATCTATGGATTTAAATTTAACCTCTATTCAGTTCTTATTGTTTAAAAAGTCTTTGAATCTCTGAAGTTGAATTGGATTTTTATTTTGTTGGATCTTCCTAGCTTCTAACAAGGCATAATGAGAATCTCTTTCCTGCTTTAGGATATGCCTTTCACCTGTGAAGGTATCACCCCTGACATAATCATCAATCCTCATGCCATCCCTTCCCGTATGACAATTGGTCACTTGATTGAATGTCTTCAAGGGAAGGTAAGGAGAGCTAAACTCTGAGAAGCAAACTGCATTTGTTTGCCCTTGTGGACAGATCTGCTAGTTCCCAGTATTTCTTAACCCGCTAAAGAATGACAGATTCCCATTTGAGGCTCTAGTAGCAAAAGGAAATGGGTATTAATCCATATGGAGGACCTAGAGACTCACCATGCCTTTATAGCAGAATTTCTCTGTTGCTTTTATTGACGGAATTACTACAGAAGCACAGGTAACCCTAAAAATCCTTAAGCATTCTCCTAATCTATGGCAAAGCAGTAAGAGTTAGGCTAGAGCTAAGTGCTTCTGAAAATCCCACATCTAAGTTTTGTTCAACAGAAAAATATCCATTGCATTAGAAAGCTGTTTGGATACAGTCCTGGCCATTGGGCCTGAAATCTTAAGAGCGGGAGGAGCTTAGCTTTTTCAAGTGCCTGCATGATGTCTGCCTACTCACACATAGAAGGCACAGCTTGTGTGTATAAAACTCACAGTACTCAGCAAAGCCTTTTTTGCCTAGGTATCGGCAAACAAGGGAGAAATTGGTGATGCTACACCTTTTAATGATGCTGTCAATGTGCAGAAGATTTCCAATCTACTCTCAGATTATGGCTATCATCTCCGAGGAAATGAGGTAGTGTGTTCAAAATGCCAGTCTAGCTAAACTTTATTGGTCTGTTCCAATAAACTTTGTTAATATGTCTATTTTAGGCTTGGGCTGCAGTGACTGTGTGCTTTACTTCAGGTTCTGTACAACGGCTTCACTGGACGCAAAATCACATCACAGATCTTCATTGGTCCTACTTATTATCAGAGGCTGAAACATATGGTAGATGACAAAATTCATTCTCGAGCAAGAGGGCCCATTCAGATTCTTAACAGGCAACCAATGGAAGGCAGATCTCGGTAAGAACTTTTGTGGATTTTCTGTATTATGAATCCTTCAAGTCCCTTTGTTGAGTTGCTCAAGTAGAGAAGAATTCGCTGCCTCGGCTGTGTACCTAGATCTAAATTGGCGTATCCAGTTGGAGCTGGTGGCAGTGTGCTTGGGTTTGGACAGGTAAAACATGACTTAGTCCTTTGTATCAGTTTGGGGGGGGGGTTGTGGTTCAAACACTACATTGTCATATCTTGTGGGAACGTTCTTAGGCTGGGGACTGGTAGTAGGAGCAGCAGTTTTATTAATTTGGCTGACTTCTCCCCGGTGACTTTATTTTTTGGGGAAGGAAAGAGATGACCACTGTTTGGGTACAAAGGGGCATCAACTTGTGATACTGCTGATGTGTTTGTACAGCACTTTCCACGTTAGCTCCTGGAATCATGATTTCTGACCAGCTTTTTATTCCCCCGTTTGCAGAGATGGCGGCCTTCGTTTCGGAGAGATGGAGCGAGACTGTCAGATTGCTCATGGAGCAGCTCAGTTTTTGAGAGAGAGATTGTTTGAGGCTTCAGACCCATACCAAGTTCACGTTTGCAATCTGTGTGGAATAATGGCAATAGCTAACACAAGGACACACACTTACGAGTGCAGGGGCTGCCGTAATAAAACACAGGTACGTATGGATTTCCTCTGCAAATATTTCTACTTGATGTCCACACCAAAATGATGAAAAGGAGTATGATGGTGAGTGAGGATGAAGAGCAAGTAGTAAACACAAATTCACCCAAAAGTTGCTCTAACTGCAAAGGTTTTGTTTTTTCTAAATGCCAGAGTTCACTCATGTTTCTCTATAATTGCTAGAGTTTGGGCTGCATAATTTGGCAGGAAATTTCACTTGTGTATTTTATAATACTGGGAGAACTTAACTAATTGCAACTATTAAATATTAACTTTGGGGTAAAAAAACTGCTACAGGAAAATTCATGTCATGGCTTTGCCACTCTAACTCTTCAGAATATTATGTTTTGGTTGGAGGTGTTGCCCATTCGAGGTTCTGATTTTCTACTAGGAAGTACTTCTGTACTTGTGTTATAAACATATGTGCTTCATCATTTAGAGCTGCTTTCATGCAGGGGGTGATGGAGTAAAAATTACTTAATATGCACTCCTGTATGGGGAACTGCTTTCAGCGACAGTGCGCCGTGTTCCATTGCTACTAATGAGACGCATTGCTGGAAAATGTACCTGCAATTTATTAGTAAACCTTGCCATATGCTTTGTATTGCCTGCTCAATGGATTAGAGGCCAATTACATTTTATAAAGGGAAGGGAAATTACAGGTTTTGAATTTAAATATGGAAGCTTATATGCAAAGTATAAACTGTAAACAGGATTGTTTTTCTCTACCATAACTCGATTATTCCTTTAGGCTCTAAGGAGCTTAACCATCTGGTAACACATAGTTAATATGCACAGATAAAACGTCTTGGAGCAATACCGTGTTGCTTTGTTAGTCTGGATCCTATAGAGGACCCGTCAACACTATTAAGTAAGGCCACATTGGATGGAGTGTGATCAGTCATCACTTTGCAGACTGTAAAGACTTTTGCCAAAGGGCTATCAAAATATAACTTCATGTGAAGCACTAGACTAGATCAAACAAATTAGACTTGCAGTGTTGGTACCAAGACATGACCATGTACTTACTGAGTAGCTAGAGGTGAAGTTAATCTTTAGGATGATACTACATACTAAATTCTCTTTCCTCCTTTTCAGATTTCTTTAGTGCGAATGCCATATGCCTGTAAACTTCTCTTTCAAGAGCTGATGTCCATGAGTATTGCACCTCGTATGATGAGTGTTTAGCCTTTAAAAGGCTTTGCTTTAGATCAGAATTCATGTATATGCTTGCTCTGGTTCTAGTGTTACATTCAAAATGTTTTTAAATGATACATGTGTCCTTTGTATCAGGTCGTTTGGCATCTCTAAACACTTTGTTTAATGATCTTGAGCTTTACTTTTGTAAATAGAAATAAAGATTTTTAGTCATGTGAATTATATTTATTTGAACATCTGCCAAAAGTGTGTAAGCACCATTGCTAACAGAGCGAGCAAGTGAGATAAGGAATGGATTATTGGGCTAGAAGTAGTCAGTGGCTGCAGCTTTCTAAAATACTAACTTAAACTGCATAAGTGATATAGTCCTTCCATCTTCCATCACAGCTCTGCACCATCTGGGGAAAAACAAGAAATGTGCTTTCATAATTAGGGTAACACTGCAGATGCTCCAAAATCAGTTGAACAATTTATTTTCTATCTGTTCTTCATTGTGCACAATGGAGTCAATCCTTTCCTTTTGCTCCCGAGGGACCCGCTGGCTTATCTGGGGTAATGGAATAGGGGTGACCTTTCCCCTTGCAATGTGCCCATTGACAGGAGTTGGCTAACTGTATGTTAAGTGTTAAGACTGTACTTCTTACTGCTGCATCTGCAGTGTCCTCTGAGAACTCCATGCCTGTCACAAGATGGCAAAGGTCCTTTAAGAGGGAAGAGGCCAGTGTGCTTTTCAGTGGCCAGCTGACCCCCAAGTAGGCTTGAGAAGCATCTCACACAGGCAGTGGAGTACGAGCTGCCTGAGACGGTCAGGCAGGAGGCAGCAAGGCGGAACTGGCACCTTGCTTGGATAGGAGTTTCAGGAGCCCTAGGAGTGCCGAGAGCTAGAACTGACAAAAGCAGAAGGCCTGCTCAGTGGCCTGTAGACACAAGGGGGAGATTCAGCATGGAAGGGCAGTAGGAGGGTGGGACCCCATGGCAGGGTTAAGACATGGAGTGAGAATCCTCACACTGAAGTGTTGTGGGAGGAGTTGTCACTTAGGTCCCAGGCGCCAGGCCTCTCTACCTCACTCAAGGCATAAGGAATTGATAATAGCATGCTGCTAGCCCATTGGGTGGGTGACTTCAGGAGCTGTCCCTGGAGAGGGGAATGGAAACAACGCTATATTTGACAATAGGAGCTGGAGAATGGCTCTATTAGGAGGCTTTTGGGGAACTAGGGCACTGTGTATATGACTGACTGCACTCAGACTACCCAGACTAGGCATACCTGTCGCACACTGGGGCAGAGTTGCCCTATAATGAGCTTGGGGTACACTCCTTTTAAATAGAGACAGCGTCTGCCCCATAACTTCTTACTTGGCTAAAGCTTATGTCCTCAGAATTTCATGTCTTCCAAAATGACTTTTGTGGCCCTTACATAATTTGAAATTCAGGTCTTTTCAGAGAACATGGTGTCTGAAGAACCAATTAAATCACCATCATAGCAGCCTGAAAGCTGAGCTATTTGGAACAGAAGAGTTTTTCTCAGATGATGTAACTTTTAACTAGTTACCCTCCAAAGCCTAGCACAATGTTTGGGGAAAAAAAGCATGTGTTTAATAAAGGCTCAGTCCTTAGCTATTTGTGAACACTCAGTAAAGATCTCCATGAAGTGCTTCACCAAAAGTAGAAAGACAGGTTTGATATGAGCTGTACCTTGCTGATATTTCTAACCAAGTTTTAAAAGCAACTTTTCAGGTTGTTCTCTTATCCTAAGCAACCAGGCCATAAACCTCCTTTTATAATTTTTTTTTGCATATATAGAACAGTGTTGTAACTTTGCACACATGACCTACCTTTAGCGAGGGGTATTTCCTGTAAGGCATCGACAACAGTAATGCGTGCAGAAGCCGTAGCCTCTCCTTTGGAGTTCGATGCATGACACTCGTACTCTCCAGCATCCTCTTTACTCAAAGGAGATATCTACCAAAGCAAACAACATGTGTCCTTGTTCACTACACAGGATTGGTTCTCAAGACACTTTGTGTCACTGTTAGGTTGTATAACAGCAGTAGTAACCGACAAAATAGGTAACAGATCAAGTGGGAATGAACACCTGCAGATTGCACGTGGCCAGAATAGTTCTTAACCAGCCCTCTGGAAAACGTTCATGTTCTCCTGAGCAAGCAATATGTTGTTTAAAAAAGTTGCATCATAAATTCAACCCTAAAAAATGAGAATTCATTCCCTGTTAGCAAAGGGAGCAGAAACTCAATTCTGACTTTTCAACTGAGCCAAAGGGCCAACGGTGGGTGCTGGATCCCAGATCAGATAGGTGGCAGTAGCTAACCACAGTATAGGACGCCCTTTGGCACCTGACTTGGAGATCAGCCAATCAATCCACTTTTAGCCCCACTGTCTTTAACATCAGGGTTTGCTTTAGCCAAATGCCTCAGACCTTTTGGCTACGTCTAGACTGGCATGATTTTCCACAAATGCTTTTAAGGGAAAAGTTTTTCCGTTAAAAGCATTTGCGGAAAAGAGCGTCTAGATTGGCACAGATGCTTTTTTGCAAAAGCACTTTTTGCGGAAAAGTGTCCGTGCCAATCTAGACGCAGTTTTGCGCAAGAAAGCCCCGATTGCCATTTTCGCAATCGGGGCTTTTTTGCGCAAAACAATACCGCGCTGTCTACACTGGCCCTCTTGCGCAAAAGCATTTGCGCAAGAGGGCTTTTGCCTTAACGGGAGCAGCACATTATTTCTTACATGAGATCGTCAGTGTTCTTGCGGAAATTCAAGCGGCCCGTGTAGATAGCTGGCAAGTGTTTCCGCAAAAGCAGGTGCTTTTGTGGAAAAACGTGCCAGTTTAGACGCAGCCTTTGTGTTTGCTCAGGGTTTGGGCTGTGTTAGAAGGTCCTGTTGTAATGGGGAGGAGGCAGGAAAAAGCGGTACTCTTGGTACCCCTCTCCAGAAAGGTGTCTCACCAAACTTGTGTTAACTCTCATTTGCCCTGCTCTAAAGCTTTCTCTTCCCAAGCCTCACCCGTTTTGGTGCACAGAGCAAATGCCTTTGAGTTGCATTCCCCAGGCACTGCCTTGGGTGGAGGCTGAAGCAATTGCACAGCATGGTCTGTTATTGCCAAAGCTTATCTAGTTGCAAAGCAAAGCAAGATGTGCCACCTCTCTGCCGGCTTCCCTGCTGATGCTCTCTTCCCGCTCCAACTCATTTCCACACATTGCAGCTCAGGCCCTAGCGTGCTGCTCCAGTTGTGCTCCCACTTGAGAACAGTTTAACTCTTCGCAGTAAAAGGTTTTTTTAAAGGGCTGGGCATGTAGAGAATTCACATGCCTTGAGGTCTCAGGTCCAAGATGCCCAGGACAAGGGTTCTCTGTGCTACAGCAGGCAGGACAGCAGTCCGGTGGCGTTCCATTCCCATGGGACCGTCACCAAAGACTGCTGGTCTCCAAGCCCTGCACTAGCTAGCCGCAGTGTCCAGTCTGTGCAGAAGGAGAGATGGTCTGTCGTTTCGCTCTGTCCTGCTCCTGAGCGCATTTTAACATCCCGCTCTCCCTCCTCGTTGTTTGCACATGTGTAAGTAACAGCACGGGAAAGCAAAGGCTAGGGCCAACTGAATGCATTTAACCTTACTCCTCATCAGACCTGTGGCTGCTTTTTAACTTCACATTCACATAGACTCTGTTTTCAACACCCAGACAAATGCTGCCCCTAGCCCATGGTAAGCTCCCAGCATTGTACCCGGAAACTTGGGTCTTGCCGATCCGTTACTAGGCTTGTATGTCAACATGCACGAGTACTCACCAACACCCAGCCAGTTACTTCATGTTTCTCAGGGCCGCCCCGGGTCTGGATAGCCAAGTTGTCGCGGTCGCCAGGCAGAAGCTCCAGCCTTTGCACACCATACTGTCCCCTTAGTATCTGAGCAAGAGTACAAAGAGTCAAGCTGCCAGTCCATTGACGAGACTGCCACCACACATACCTGCAGGACCATTGCCACCAAACTCCTAAAGCCTTGTCTGCACACAAAAGCTGGGCCCATGCACCTGGGGAGATGAGACTGAGTTACAGGTGTTCCTACAGGTCGCCTTGCCACGGCTATTCCTTTACAGCAAGCAGCGGCTGTCCTTCCCGCACACGCCTCCCAGGCAGTGCTCTGGGACGTTCCTGGAAGTGCTGCCAAGTGGCACCGTAGAGGGGTTCTCATTTCTCTGGGCCAGACTCCATTGGTGACCCTGGAGGAGCAAACTAGGTGCAGAGCTATAGAAGTCCACTGAAGCTCAGGCTGACACTACAACACAGCTGATTTCACCTGTGCACTACAAGGCCTCCTGGCCACCAGGAAATGTCTGTGGTTGGCCCTGCTATGTAGGGGACTCACTATTCTACCCATTTCCCACAAAGTATGTTTACTTGATTGTGAGTCAACGGTCTCGAGCCTGTGGGTTTGGGAAAACTTGGAAAGTGATGGAGCCTGCACAGCAGCACTCTTCATTTGCACCGTTACCCTTTGCTTGGAATGAACACCAAGGCTTCTCTCTAATCAAGGAGGCAGCAAAGCAGGAGAAGCAAAAGCAAATTATGGAATTGGCTCTGTTTTGGGCTTCGGGCTCCTACGCGGTCCCAGGCCCAGACTCCGATGGAACTGCCGGACAATGCAATTATGGAATTGGCTCTGTTTTGGGCTTTGGGCTCCTATGCGGTCCCAGGCCCAGACTCCGATGGAGCTGCCGGACAATGCGGCTGAAAGTGACTGTGCACCCTCTTTGCTATGGACTACGGGTAAAACCAAACCCAGACAGCCCCCAGCACTATGAAACCACCCAGCAGAGGAGCAGCATCCACATTCTCCCCAAGGCTAACAAAAGAAAATAAAAATTAACTGCGGGTTACTCTGATCTGGGCATTCAAGGTCAGCATTTTCAAAGCCACAGGCATGCATGAGCTTCACAACAGATCCCTGGGAGACATTCTTTAGCCATTCTCAACACCAGTTTTTAATATGGCAGAGAATAATGGTGTTTCTCTTATCAGCATAGACACAAATACAAAAGAAAAAGTTTTGGTTCTGGGTTTTTTGGTTTTGTTTTTTGCATTGACCAGAGAAACTCACTGCAAACATTCTCTTCTGCTGGTGGGTTTGCTGTAGCTTTTGTCCTGCAATTCCTAACAGTCTTGGCTTCCCTTCTAAAGTGCTATAGTTTACAGATGGTGCTGGATTTGGTATCACATTTGGTATTTTTCTCCACAAATGGTACTGTCCTTCTTTCTTGACACCTTAGAAACAGTGCAGAGCTTTTCTTTATTATGGACTAGTTCTCTCTGCTCCTCTGCCACCTCCCCCAAGATGAAAGGAGCCTTGCACTACAGTGAGGAAGCATAGCCTAACCCATGCTACCTGTGAAAACCAGATCCCGTGCCACTGACCTTATTCCAAGTCAGCACTGGGGTTGGAACGCCCAGGACTTCGCAACTCATGTAAATCTTTGCTCCAGTGACATTCCAGATGTCCTTCGGGGGCGTCACAATAGAAGGCCCTGTGAAGAGAGAGATTTTTATAAACAGGTGACTACAACTGGATGTCTGATTCCCTGCCTCTTGTTTGTACCCTGTTACATTCCACAGTTTCAGTGCCACGGACTCGCTACTACTGTTATAGCCACGTGTGGTAGCTCCACCAATTAGGGTTGCCCAACATGTCCCATTAGAAGACTCTGATTTCAGTTGCTTATGACTTTGTCAAATTTGAACTCTGGGTACTATGGCCAGCCGTGCGGCTTGTCTCTCTGGAAGAGCAAACGAAGCTTGTTATTCCTCTGGCAGAGCCGGGAGCAGGCTGGATGCTGCACAGCTCATGGCTTGGGAAAACGTAAGCCGGGGGCGTTGGGGTCTCCTTGCCAGGTGTCACCAAGGCTGGTGGAGATCCGTGCGCGGCCGGGAGGTAAGAAGCAGACGGCTGGAGTCAGAGTCTCTGGTCCAGGGCTGTGTATCACACAGCCGCTCAGATGCCGGCTGGGAGTCCCAGCCACACGAGCGACAGCACCAGCACGTTTTAAGGCACCCAGGGTCACAGGACTGGGGGTGGGGGAAGGAGACTGTGACAGGCTGTGGCGGGGGAGATGGGAAGACAAGGGCTTTAGGGGAGGGGGAACAGAAAACTGGGCCTTGCAGTTAGTGCAGGGGTGGGGGGACTTGAACTGGCTGGGCAAGGAGCCTGGAACGGGGGGCCAGAGGTAGAGTGGGAGCCAGCAGGGGGTTCAATGGCTGCAAAACGTCCTAGATCGCTCTGCTCCCCCCATGCTCTTTGCAGGCGGTGCGTGTTCTCAGCTCTGCTGCCCTCCTGAGGCAAGTCACCACCTGACTCCGCGCCTCACTCTCCACATCCCGACCACGGGAAGGAGGGTTCCCCACACCTCCGGTGTCCAGACGCTGCAGCCACTCACCCGCACTAGGCCACCAAGATACCACACACCACATCACATCTCACCGTGACAGTGCAATGGAGAAACCATCCCACCAGCGCACTTCCGCCTGCTGCCTTTCTCCAGAGGCCAGCAAACGTGCAGCAGGCGCATGCGTGGACACGTGGGGCAGGGAGGGAACACAGGCTAGTGCGTGTGAGAGCAGGGCAGGGGGGTGGGGGAAGGGGAGGCAGGGCCAGCTTTCCACACGAGCTCAGCTCCCACCAGACAGTAACCCAAGCGGCCAGACTGTTCTCAGTGGGAGCTGCTGGGGCCTGGGCGTGTCATTTACGAGCGGAGACGGGAGCTGATACGGAGTCGTTTGGAGACTCTGGCCCTACATGCTGACCCTCAGCCGTGGCAGCGTATTAGGCACAGGCAGTATTCCGGGAAGGAGAAGAATGAACTCGTTTAATCTCCTTTGCGTGGGCCTGCCCTGCAACCCTGCTATTAAACTCTGGAAACAGAAAGCGAACCCAAGTGAAAGCGTCTTTCTTTCCAGGCAAGGGAAGCTTTACAGGCTGTATCGTAGAGGTTGTCTGTCCCTCGTCCTCAGGAGACAGAGGCAGAGACATGCAATCCCCCCAAATCCGGCCAAAGCATGTCTTGTAGGAACTGCCAGGCCAGCAGCTACCTCGTCTCTATCTCCCTCTCCATCAGCGACCGGAGGCTTCTGCGAAGAAGCCCTGCAGTGGACGGTTCTGGGCCAGCCTCTTTCCAAGGGACATGCCGACTGAGCTTCCTTGGCTGGAGCCTGGCTGATGTCCTGAAGCCAGAGGGTTGATAGCTTCTCTGTTCTTCATAGCTGCTGTTCTAACCCTGGATCCCCGTCTGACCCCGCTACACCTCTTAGCGTCTCTGCCGCTGTGCTGTTCGCCTGCCATGGCCAAAGTGCAGCAGTCTGGGACGAGCTCTTACAAAGTGCATTACCATTCCGCTCTTGGCCGCTTTGCCCTCGTTGCAGCTTTTGGGGGCAGTCCACAGCTGCAGCGCGGTGCCTGCTGGCAGCAATATTTCCTTGGAAGTTTGAGACCGTGTGTGCAACGGTTCTGCCCACCATACAGATCCCAGCCTCCGGGTAAATACCTCCCCTCCTGGCAACAAGTGGGTGCCAGAACTAAATCTAGGAGACAGTGCTGCCCATTTCTTGGAAGAATGACAATGGAGGAGAGAGACAGTAAGGCAGGGGTATGCCCCTGAGCTCCAGACCCCCCACTGCACCAGTCCTGCCAAGCACACACTCTTCTGGGAAGAAATCGCCCACTTGCCGCACCCAGGCCAGGCACAAGGAATTCATGCAGAAGAAAAGTTCTTGGGACTCCACTGCACCCTCGGCATCGCTCGGGAGGAGTCAGACGGCTCAGCAAGCGGATGCGAAGACACCTCCAGATGAAGAGCCTACCGCCTAGATTGTCATCCCTGCGCCGGGGGCCTCGGGAGACCTGCTGGATGCAGATCTCCCCATCCCGGGTCACAGGCTCCTGGGATTTGCTTCCATTACAGGATCTCCCACACAGCCTCCTGTCCTCCCTGCGGGGCTTTAGGAAGAGGCCAGCGCTGGTCCCCGACACTAATCAGAGCGCCGATGCACACCTGCGGCGCACACTGCACACGCCATACTGCACACTCAGCCTCCTGCCAGCCCACGGCTTCATGCTAAACATCAGGAAGAGTCCCTTGATCCTACTGATCATCACGGCTACCCCTCTGATACTTGATCCTACGGATTATTTACCTGGACTTGGACTTAGGCACCTCACTGGTGAATACCTGCCTCCCGGCTCACCAGGTTCTTATATCTCATCTGCCTCCTGCACACAGGCACCAAGCCAACCATAGCTCGGAGCCTGCAGCTAGTGGCCTCCTTAGGTCATGCACAGCAGCCACCCCACATGCACGTGTCTCCAGCGCTCCTGCTGACAGGATGCACCGCTCCCAGAATGCAGGACAGATCAGGTACTTTACTTTCCAGCATGCTGGCCAGTTCCCGAGGACCTCTGCAAGGGCCTTCAGACCACTGTGGTTCTCACAACCTATGCCAGCTTGCTAGGTTGGGGAGCACTTCTGGGACCAGAATGATGTTGGGTACCTGGAGCCCCAAGGAGAGGAAATCCATCTCCTGGAGCGCCGAGTCACCAGGCTGGCTCTCAGGAGACTCCAGAGCTAACCACAGGCAATCAAGTCCTGGTCCACTCAGACAATACAGCCACGGCTGCATACATAAACAGCCAAGAAGGACTAAGTAGCATAGCGCCATATGAAGAAGCAATGGAGATATTGCGAGTGTGGTTTTCCTCACGCACTTGGCACTTGACACCCGCCCCATCCTCCCTTAACTCTCTGTGAGGAAAGCCTGATAACAACGCTTGGGCTGTGCTCCGAGCATCCAGGCTCAATTTCATCTCCTTGTTTTGCTCTACAAAGCAGTGCTGTGTTGCAGGTGGCACTTCAGCCTTTGGCTGGCAAGCTTAGCTCTGAACTAGAGCGGGGAGAGGCTGTGACCCTTTGTCCTGACTTACTCGGCAGGGCCGGAGGCTGGGAAAGCAGAGCCCCCACAAGATGCACAAATACCCCGAGCAGACGCAGCTCTTCCACACAGATATCTCTTGGGCCTTTTGCTTGTCAGACCCTCACATCCAAGATGCCCCAAAATCAGGACTGGCTTAAAAATCGTCAGATTGAAAATGCAGCTCGAACCTCTCTGAAGTGGGACTCTCCGGTCCGGCGAGGTCCCGGGTCAGAGAGGGCTGGCGGCTGGGAGCCCTGCGGGCTAGCAGGGTGGGGGTGCTGGCATCGGGGATGCCCGGCGTGGCTGGGAGCCCAGCCTGTGGCAAGGGGCTGCCTGGTGGGGCCAGGAAGCTCAGTGGGGCCAGTGATGGGAAAAAGTGGCCAGGAACCCGTGACCAGGCCAGTGCTGGGGGTGGGAGGTGGTGGTAGCAGAGGGGTCAGAAATATCCTCTCACGGTCTGACACAATCCCTCCTCCTGGACCAGTCAGGTCCCCAGGGTGCTCGACCAGGGAGATCCACCCTGTAATAATACTGAACAAAAAGAAGTCAAAATGCTTTCTGATTTTTGAGTCCATTATGGGGAGCTGCTTGGCCCCAATATACGTGTGACCATCACGATTCAGCCCTCCAAGCATGGCCAGGAAAGCCAAAGGCCCCCTTGTCCGTCTATCGGAGGGGTCTCTAGCTATCCTCCTGTCCTCTGGATCAGCAGCTGCCTCACTCACGACCCCTCCCACATACCAGCCCGTCAGGCTCCGGCCCTGCAAAAGTGGAGCGGTATCTTTACTCTTGCGAGTAGCCCGTCTCTTCAGCAGGGCCGCTCAGACGAGTAAGGTGACTCACCTTCTTACGTCTTGGCAGGCACAGGGAAGCGCCCTACCCTGGGGCGAGGTGAAACGTTAAATGAGAGGCGCAGCTCTTTTGTGCCTACAGACCATACCCCCTTCGCGTCAGAGCCGCACGCGGGTTTCAATAGCACTAGCACTGGGATTTTCACACTACCAAGCGGAGTTATTGGCCTGGGGGGTGGTGATGGGGAGTGGCTAGCCATAGCTCCAGTGAGGCCATCACTCTGGAAGGGAAACCAGGATGCCTGTAGCTCAGCTTCCCAGGCTTCTGAGTCTACCCTGTGTAAAAACAAACTAGCAGGTGGCAAAGATCAGTGGAGTAGCTATCTACTGCATCTCCACGCCAAAACAAAGCACTTCTAGGATGCTGTGGGGTCCAGCTTCCAACATCACAGGGAAAGCTCCTTGCACCACACCCTGTGAGAGTTTCCCAGGCTAACACCCAGTTAGATCACAGCAGTGTCTAGAGACCCCCACCGTCACTGTGATAATCACGGTACAAACACATGGTACTGTGCTGAAACAAAGCCTACAGACATATCTCCACAGTTACAGTGATCGAGACACCGAAAAACACACCTTTCACGATCACACATGTTCATCACCACGTGTAATGCACCTCATCCAGTGCATCAGCTGTCCCCAAGAAACCAGGTGGATGAAAGCAGACAAGCACTGCCCTCTCAAAGGAATCCACACACAAACATCATAAAAGACAAAAACGCCATATCACCCATTGGCAAATACTTTTCACAAAACTGTCAGTCCGTATCTGACTGCTCAGTCCTTACCCTCAAAACCGGCACGACACTTTCAGAAGTGGCAGCTTGAATTCATACTGCTAGACACTAAAATCATGGACTCAGCAGAGACTCTGGTTTTATGACTCATTATAACAATCTGTAACCCACTAATCCTTCTTTGTCCTCTGACTGCAGACATCTTAATGGGCCACTTTTCCTTGAACTATCTCTTGCAAGATATAACACCTTATGCTTAACAATCTGTTCCACTTTGTATTTAGCTGGAACACTACTTTCCCAGGTCCTCTCCAGTTTCTCCACATCTTTTCTGTGGGTTAACTAATATGGGCCAGTGTGAGCCTGAAAGCCTGTGTCTTTCACTGACCAAAGTTGGTACAATAAAAGGTATTATAGTATTTAATCCACATTACTTAACCCACAGGAAAGATGTGGAGAAACTGGAGCAGGTCCAGAGAAGAGCAACAAGAATGATTAAAGCTCTGGAAGACATGAGCTATGAGGGAAGACTGAAAGAACTGGGTTTGTTTAGTTTAGAAAAGAGAAGACAGAGGGAACATGATAGCAGCTTTCAAAGGTGTTACAAGGAGAAAGGAGAAAAATTGTTCTTAACTTCTGGGGACAGGACAAGAAGCAATGGGCATAAACTGCAGCAACGGAAGTTGAGGCTGGACATTAGGAAAAACTTCCAGTCAGGCTGGTTAAGCACTGGAATAAATTGCCTAGGGAGGCTCTGGAATCTCCATCACGGGAGATGTTTAAGAGCAGAAAGCTGGAAATTCTTGCCGTGTGATGGGTTTTGATTTTATTTTCATGTGGCTGTTTGCAGCCACACACGCCCAAAAATCTGTCCCTAAAAATAGCCTTTCCGTTTCCTTCTCAAGCTCCCAAGAAGCCATTCTCACTTAGAAATGACTTTATATGGAGAAGCACAGTGTTCTGAAAATAGCACCCAACAGCCAGGCTTGTGTGCAACACCCTCAACTTGCTCCTTCCACAGACAGACGCAAGAAGGGAAACTGGCAACGTGGAACCGAGGCAGTTCAGAAAAGGGCTCCAAGTGTCTGAGGTACCCACGGTGCCATGTTCACCCTCAGAAGGGGCCCCAAGCCCGAGGCCCTGCTCCTCCTTCTCCTCTTCCCCCCAAGTTCCCACACGCCGCTCACCCTGGGAAAAGGGGTGGAGAGGAGCCAGAAGCAGCGGGAGTTGGGTGAGGTGGGAGAAGAGGAAGAAGAGGGTGAAGAGGAGAGGGGCAGAGAGGAGCAAGAAGCACAGGTGGAGTATAGGGGCCAGGGCTCTACTCTAAAGGTTAATGTGGCCCGACTCAGGGTACCCCCGCGCCGCAGCGTCCCTGGCACAACGGCCCCCAGGCGACCCCCGCGCTGCAGTGTCCTTAGAGCTACAGCCCCCAAGTGGAGGGGGACAGGCAGGACGCTCCCCAGCTGAGAGTTCACACATGCAGGCGGAAGGGAAGGGAAAAGCCGAGGCTCCCAGAATCTTGTGCTTAATGTAAAAGGGCTTTCCCACAATGGACACTAGCCCCCTCTTGCCCTCCCCACGCCACACCTCGTCGTCCTTCCATCTCCTCTTGCCAGCCCAGCTGCTCCTCAGGCCCAGCCAGGAGAGCTGTGACGCGGGTGCTTCAAGTTAAGCTGGGGCTCGGGCCTTGCTGGAGCAGTGGAGTTAAGCCTGTGCTTAGTGCTGCACTGCCTGAGGCCCTGAGAGGTCCAGCTGCAGGAATGGCTTGCTGGCATCGCTGCCCCTAGACAGGTCTGCCTGTGTGAGTCTGTGCTCTGAGCTCTGTGCGCGTGGGGAAGGGGCGTGAGGAGACGGGGCCCAGAGTCACCCCAAGCGTGTCTTGCCCTGCAATGTAATAAGCAGAAACGGGAACGCAAACAGCTGCATCGAAAGATGGAAACATGCCGTGATGTTTTCCACCTCAAAGCACTTCATGCTC